CATGCTCTCTCTATCTCATTCGCTCTCTCAAATAAATAAATAAAATCTTTAAAAAAAAAAAAAGAAACAAAGATGGGTGAAGAGATAGAGATAGAGAGAGAGAGAGGGAAAGATAAAAGGACATGGGGAGCCAGAGAATGACAGCAAGAGCAGGAGATGCCCTGAGAGGTGTACAGAAATGCAGAGAAACATAGACAGACGCATGGACACAGAGATCCAGGGGCAGACAGGAGGGGATGGAGACGGGCTGGGACCTGCAGCCTTGGAATCCTTCTAAGAAGGAGGAAGGTACAACCCCAGAAGGGGAGAGACTGTGCTGTGCTTCCGCGGGAGCTACAGCTCAGAGAGCAGGTGGGCGGTTGGTGAGGATGCCCCCCCCCATCGAGACCCCCTCCCTCATCCCGGCTCCACACCTGGTAGGGGTGGTTCTCCGGCTCTGGCTGCTGCTGGGGCAGGGGCTGCGAGGGAAGAGCACGGGTGAGCCAGGCCCCCAGCATCCCGACACCCTCCTACCTTGGACCTTTGCTGTGAGGACAGACCTGGCTTCCCAGTCCCAAGTCCCCATCGCCCCAGAGACTAATGCTCCTTATGTTGTGTCCTTCCAGTCCCTTTTCCCGGTGGTTTTAAAGTAGGGAGCATCCCAGGGTGAGCCACGTTCCTGCAGTGTGGGGACAAGGTGCCAGCGCCACAGTGAACTCCTGGGGGAAGCAGCAGGTGGGGCTTTGGGGAAGGGGGTGGGACTCACCATGGAGGTGTTCATGGACCTCATGTCACCGGGGGGAGACAGCAGGAGGGTCGGAGATGGCATCACTTCATAGATGTTCTGGTCACCTGAAGCAGAGGACAAGGGCGGAACTGGCTGACGCGCGGCCCACAGGCCCATGCTAGCTGCTGTCAGTGGTCATTTATTCAGCTAACATTTGTGCAAATCCCTCTCCTTGCCCAGCCCTGTGCTGGGGACACAGCCGAGACTGAGGCAGCGCTGGCCCTGACCTCCCAGGGCTCAGAGTCCAGTGGGGGAGACAGATCTGTCCCCAGATAGGGATGACCCAGAGTGGGTAGGGCCAAGTGGGGGAGCCCAGAGGGCTCCTGGAGGGGAGTCAGGGATGGCTTCCTGGAGGAGGGGACATCTGAGACTGGAAAGAGAAGCGAGAACTATGCAAATGCAGGAGGGAGTGGCTGGCAGGAGATAGCCTGCCATGTTTGAGGAGCTGTGATATATTTGGTCTGTCTGGATTATATATAGTTTATTTTATATTGTTTTGTTTTTGAGGATGGGATTGTTACATGTGGGAAATGAAGCCAGGAAAGACAGTGGGGACCAGTTTATGGGAGTCTAGAGAGCCATGTTAAAGAGGCTGACTTTGTCCTAAGGACCCTGGGGAGCTATGGAGGGCCTCTGAGCAGAGGAGTGACAGGGTGAGAGTTCTAGAAGCACTCTGTCTGGGGATGGGGTGGAGGCCAGCCTGGAGGCGGGGAGCCCAGCAAAGAGTTGGGTGTGGGGACCCGGGAGTGGAACCATCGAGACTGGATGTGCCAGGCACTGAGAAGAGGAGGAAAAGCAGGTTTGGCGTGAGTGCTGATGTCCTCAGAGTCTGTGGGCTGAGTCTGGGGGGCCCCAGAGAGGTCTGGGTGGGGCAAGTGATTGGGAGACCCCTAGTGAGGGAGGGCAAGGGTGTGTGTGGCTGGTGGGGAGAAGAGGAAGAAGCCTGGAGGAGGGGCTTTAGCCACAGGGACCTCTGGCTTACCGGCATTGTGATTGGGGTGCACCTCTGGCTTCTCTGTGGGTGTCAACCTGGGGACATATGGAGAGAACCAATATTAGGGTAGTAAGCCACTCAGGTGGGTGGAGAGAGACTCAGAGAAACTGGAAAGCCCATCAGTCCATCAGAGAGAGAGATGGTCCCTGCTTCAGAGTGAGCTAGGACAAGACCTGCCCCATCCCCGCCTCTTCTCCCATAATCTCCAGCCACAGAGCCCTTCCTCAGTTTCCCCAGCTGCCACCGTATGCCAGTGAGTAATGTTTCCCTAATGTCACTATTTAGGCAGACCATCTAGATGATTCTGCTCCATCCACCTGTTTCACGATTTCCTTAATATTTCTCTTTGAATCAGCTCTTTTGAATACCTTTATTTAAAAAGTACACTCGACATCACTGCAGCAAATTCATTATTTCACTAAACACATATTTACGGAACATGGACCACGGGCTGGATCCTATTGAAGGCACTGGGGACACAGCTGGGAACAAGACAGACAAAGAGCCCTGGCCTCCTGGAGTGGGCACTCTAGGGGGGAGAGAGAGAGAGAGAGAGAGGTCCAGTAAATGACTGACAGTAGAATGTCAGGGAGTGAAAAATGCTATAGGAAAATGAAGATGGAAAGAGGCAGAGGGTGGAGGGGGTGTGTGTGCAATTTCAAGTAGGATGGTGTGGGGGTGCCTCACGGAGAAGGCGACATTTGAGCAAAGGCCTGATGCAGGCAAGGAGACCAGCTTTGCAGAAATCATGGGAAGAGAGCTCTAACAGCATGTGCAAAGGCCCTGGGGCAGGAACAGGAACAGCAAAGAGAGGAGTATGGCTGGGACAGAGAGTGTGAGGGGGAGAGGGGCTAGAGGTGAGGTCAGAGGGAGGCAGCAGGTCAAGCTAGGTCTTGTGTCCACGGTGAGGACTTTGGCCTCGACTCCGAGGGACCTAAGCTGACTGATTTTCACAGGATCTTTCTGGCTGCTGAATGGGGAACAGACCGTGGGGGTGGGAGTGGAAGTGGGACACAGTCAGATGCTGCCATATTGTAATGAAACCTGATGTAAGTAGAAAGTGATGGGGAAAATGAAGAAAGGCCAAACAGTGGGTTAAATCTGTGGCTCGATAGGGTTGTTAGTTTTCTCTTGGGAAAAGCTAGCAAGTGTTAGAAGGGCATTAGAAGCTGACTAGAACCAGAATGAGATATTCTCTTGCCATAGTCAGAATGCTACAAAGAGAATAGGAACAGGAATTTCTCTTTGGAAATATTTCAGATGTATAGAAAAGTTGCAAAAACGGCACAAAGAACATCTGTGTAATTTTTACTCACATCCAACAATTGTTTTTATTCCATTTGCTTCAGTGTCTGCTCCCTCTCTCCTTCTGTTTCTCCCATGCATATTTTGTTTTCCTGAACCATCTGAGGGTAAGGTGCATGCATCACGGCCCTTCATTTGTAAACATTTCCACGTATTGAAATATTTTCATTTTGCGTTTTTTTTTTTAAATTTTTATTTATTTTTTAATACTGTGGCCCAGAATGCCACATCAAGTTGCCTTTGGCCCTGCCAGCACTTTGAGGATCTGTGAGATTCTCTGAGAATCACTGGCAGTAGCGGAAGGAAAGCCGGCCAGCAGGTCCGGACGAGTGGAGTCCAGTTTTGGTTCTGGAGCTTACAAGTCACTCAGGTGTGGGTTCCCGTCTCAGGGACCTGCTGCCACTCACAGGCCAGTTCTAAGCCATTTGGCAAATGATTTCATGTCTCTAAGCCTTAGTTGTCTCTAGAGACCACGGCAAACTACCCACCGAGGGCCAAATCCGCCCCATCGTTTTTGGGGACAGGCATGAAAAAGATGTGACCCCTGATTGACCCGTGAACCAGACACGGGCACTCGGAGGCTTCTCACCACCTCCCCTGTCCCTGGAGTGTGGGTTCCTGCCTTTTCCGCTCCCAGAGGCTGTTCCAAGGACGTGGCCTTGAGATGGTGTATGATGCTAAGGACAGCTGCATGGTGTGCCTGGCTCAGCCCAGTTGGGGCTTCTTTATAAACTTGTAAGATTTGGAGGGTCAGGCGCCTGGGTGGCTCAGTCGTTAAGCGTCTGCCTTCGGCTCGGGTCATGATCCCAGGGTCCTGGGATCGAGCCCCGCGTCGGGCTCCCTGCTCAGCGGGGAGTCTGCTTCTCCCTCTCCCACTCCCCCTGCTTGTGTTCCCTCTCTCGCTGTGTCGCTCTCTGTCAAATAAATAAATAAAAAATAAAATCTTTAAAAAAAAAAAAAAGATTTGGAGGGTCGGTGTGGGGATCCATTCATCTTGCTGCCCCCGGAGACAAGCCTCGTATGTAAGTTCCCTTTGCTTATTGAAACTGCCATATGCCAACCTGGAGAGGCCTGCCTCTCCAGCGCTCTGTGTTTGGGGGCTGGTTTCAGACTACACCTGGGAAGCCCCCGGGAGGGTTATGGACCAGCATTGCCTCTTTTCATACCACCTGCAAGCTAAGAAGGAGGGCTAACAGGGATGGCTTAGGTTATTCCAATACCCTTGTTACAGTCGTGGCAGACATGATTAATCAATCACAGCATCCGTTCCCACTGCACTCAGACACCACCTCCAACTCCCTTTCCACCAAGCTCTCTAGGGCACATAGTAGGAAGTGAAAGCTGTTTGCCACCCCTAAATGGGAGCGTGTTGGGAGAAAGAGATCAAGAGACCACAGCACCTAAGAGAGAGAACAGGAAGAGGAATTTCTCTTTGGAAATATTTCAAACTTATAGAAAAGTTGCAAAAATGAAGGAGGCGGCGGAGGAGAAAAGGGTGCTGCCTTCATTTCCCCGGGATTAGAGAGAGCAGAAAAACTACACATTTGCAAGCAGCTCAGAACCAAAGTCAGGAGACAAAGTTCTGAAGAGGCTGATCTCATAAGGAAGGAATTTTCCATGAATAGACTGTTTCCTGGGAAAAATAGGCCCCTGCCTCTCTCCCCCATACAGAAGTAGGCACCATCTGATGCCTTTGTCTGCCCACCATCCACTCTGCTTCTTTGGCAATAGTGTCTGTTTCCCCACCCCGCTTTGGGTCCGGGGGCGGGGTGGTGGTGGGTGGGGAACCCTCCCCACCCTGAATCCATTTAGTCATGTGGAGCTGGGTTGTTCTCTGACTCCAGAGCTGTGCAAATAGCCCAGGTTTGGCCAATCAGGATATTCCAGCACCTGGCCACAGTGGTTGGTCCACGTAAGGACATGTGATTTGAGTTAAGCCAGTGAGAAGCAGCCCTGGGGTTTTTGTTGGAGGTGTCAGGAGCCAGGTGTGGTCTTCCCTCTGTGGCTGCTGAGCTGGTGGGATATAAGCCTGGAGCCCCTAGGAGCTATCTTATCACACACAAGGGGAGGTTCTGACTGAGAATGAAGCCACCACAGAGAAAAGCAGAGTTGAGAGGTGTATGGAGGAGTCTCTTGACAAAATCAAGTCCCTGGATCCAGCCATACCTGAAGCTCATGCAGGACCAAAAAATTTTCTAATTTTTTGTAAGCCCGTTCAAAGGTAGGGTTTCTGTCCCTTGCAGTGCAGAATTCTGTCTAATACAGGATAGAAAGATCATTTTCACCTCAAGAGTTCCAAAATTTGATGAGATTGTGTATGAGTCAGATGACATGAATCATGGAAGAATCAGTCAGTGGGACCCAAGGGGTGGGGAAGAAGAGGAAGAAGAGAGGAGAGAGAGGCCTGGGGCCCCTGTACCTGTGGCTCTGGCCCCTCCAGTCTCTTGTTAACAGGAGATGGGCAATGCACCCGATGAAGAGGGACCCAGCAACAAGGAACCCAATTATGATGGCAGCCATGATCCCAGCACTCAGGGGCAGGTGTGTAATGGGCAGCTCCTTAAGCTTTTCTGAGGGGTATGAGAGAGAAAGAGAGGTCTGTGAGATGTCCTGGAAGGATCTCCCCAATCCCCTCACCCCTGCATCAGTGACTGTCCATAGAGCACTGATGTGCAGTTTCCTTTCCCCAACCCAGAGCTTTCTCCTGCTTTTCAGAGCTGAGCATCCAACTATCCAGTTGATTCTGCTGCACATAAAACTCAACATCGCTGGCTGGAACTCCTCGGCTCACCCCACCTCAAAAATCTCTGCTTTCCTAAGATTTCCTACCATCTTCAGCACATCTAAAACCTACCTCCTGACCCACTCCCCCACCACACTCCACCTGCCTGCTTTTTCTCACCTCAGTTGATTGACACCTCCATCCTTTTAGGGAAAGAATTCGGTTCTGGGCCCTGTTTTGTGCGGGATATAGGGTCTTGATGCATGGGGTTCTGAAACACTACCTGCCAGGTTTGGGATGAAGCCTACCTGACTTCTTACCCCCACCATGAGGACCTCGAGCCTTTAATATCAAGCTGAACACCTGTTATATCCCAGCCCTTCTTGGCAGCTAAGCTCATAGACTCTGAGGTCAGAATGCTGGGGGTTCAAGTCCTTGAGCAGATCACTCAACCTCTCTGTGCCTCTTCCCATTTGTGAAATGGGGACAATAAGAGTATCCACCTTGTAGGGTTGTTGTGAAGATTGAATGAGTTTACACACACACACACACACACACACACACAGAGTTCTTTCAATTATTCAACAAAGTAGGATCTGTGCCATTTTAAGGTGAGTAAACTGAGGCACAGAGAGGTGAGCTAACCTGCCCAAGGGCTCACAGAAGGTGCAGTGCTGGGATTACACTTGGGCCACCTGAGCTCCTAATGATTGCTCTGTGTGGATTCCAAAAGAGGGGCCTGTGTCCCAGGAGCCCTTGAAGGATGGGAAGGAACTATATCAGGCTCTGCATGACTGGAGTGAAGACCATTATTTCCAAATGGACTGGAGTGTCACCATATATACGTATGTATATACGTATATATATATATGTGTGTGTGTGTGTGTAATTAAATCGATCAATATTTGCTTATTTCATTCATTTCCCTAAAAGTTTGTCCATTCAAAGTGTCCAAAACCCATTTTATTTTATTTATTTTTAAAGATTTTATTTATTTATTTGATGGAGAGACAGCGAGAGAGGGAACACAAGCAGGGGGAGTGGGAGAGGGAGAAGCAGGCTTCCTGCAGAGCAGGGAGCCCGATGTGGGGCTCAGTCCCAGGATCCTGGGATCATGACCTGGGCCGAAGGCAGACAGTTAACGACTGAGCCATCCAGGCACATCCCGAAACCCATTTTAAAATGTACTCTTCTCATTGGAAGGAAGAGGATAGGCCATGCCTGGGCATATGTGGTTGTTGCCCCTACAGCCTGGGGAGGTGGCTAAGTCAGGCCCATTTTGCAGATGTGCGCACCAAGGCCCAGAGGGGTTGCATATGGGCAGAGGATGGAAGGCAGCCCCTCTTCCAGACACTGGAACTTAGCAATTTTGCACCTTCTACCTTTTAATTATTTATTTATTTTTAAGTTGGCTTCACACCCAACATGGGGCTTGAACTCAAGACCCGGAGATCAAGAGTCACATGCTTTACCGACTGAGCCAGCCAGGTGCCCCCATCTTCTACCTTTTTGAATCCCCACAACAGCAAGTGGAAATTCAGTGGCTTCTGTGAGTGACTCAGGAGGTGGGGTGGGGCTGAGGCCAGGTCAGCTGACTCAAGGAACCCCCCCCCCCCTTCCTGTCCTCCCCACCCCGACCCTGTTGCCCTGTCTTCTTATAGCATCCAGAGCCCCTTCTCCTGGATCTGCTCACTCTGGCCCCTGCTGCCCCGTCCACCCACGCAGTTCCATCACCCACAGCTCCCTTCCTCACTCTCTGGGCTGCCCAGCCTTTGCCCATGCTGTTCCCTCTGCCTGGCATGCTCTTCTCCACACACTATATATAACTCCTGCTCACTTTTTCATTCCCAGCTCCCTCTGAGAGGGAAGCCTTCTCTGACAATCCCAGGCCAAGGAGGTGCCTAATAGGCATTTCCTTCATAGCTTACTTGCTTAATTATGCAATTAGTTGATTCATGTTGGTAGACGGGACATGAAAGAACACTTCAGGGGCGCCTGGGTGGCTCCGTGGGCTAAGCATTGACTCTTGATTTCGACTCAGGTCACTATCTCAGGCTCATGAGATCGAGCCCTGCGCTAGGCTCCCTGCTCAGCAGGGGTCTGCTTGAAAGTCTCTCTCTCTCCCTCTGCCCCTCCCCCTGCTTGGTGGTTAAATAAATAAATCTTAAAAAGAAATAAATCTTTAAAAAAAGAGCACTTCAGGGCGCCTGGGTGGCTCAGTTGGTTAAGCGACTGCCTTTGGCTCAGGTCACGATCCTGGAGTCCCGGGATCGAGTCCCGCATCGGGCTCCCTGCTCGGCAGGGAGTCCGCTTCTCCCTCTGACCCTCCCCCCTCTCATGCGCTCGCTCTCTCTCATTCTCTCTCTCTCAAATAAATAAAATCTTTAAAAAAAAAAAAAGTAGAGCACTTCAATCACCTCCATTCTGACCTCAGTCTGTACTTGCTAATTATTAAGTTCTTCTTTCCAGCTTTTCTCTTAACTCATGGAAAAGACGCTGTGCAAGGCATCCTGTGATGGGAGCCGAAACTACCCCCTCAAGCAGCAAGATCCCTCCCAACTGACCCCAAGACAATGACTGACCTGACGATCTTTACTGCCCATCTGCATGTATCCACTGACCTGTGTCCCACATTTTCCTAATATAAACCTAGAAGTACTTTCAGCACTTTGGAAGCAATCTTTGGGATGCTAGTCTGCTGTCTTCCCGGGGTTGGCTTCACTGAAATACATCCCTTTCTTGTTTCGCCACCCCTCCTCTCTTTCCCTTTGGATTTTGTCTGCAGAATGGCCAAACCTGGTCTGTTTGGGATCCCAGGAGCCAGGTGCTTCTGCATCCCTGTGCCCCAGCTACAGACATGTAGTGTCTCCTCAGCTCCTTCCATCCCTCCACCATTGTGAAGCCTCCAGACCTTCAGGAGGGATGGATCCCGCCTCCAGCTCCCTGGGCGGGGCGGGGTGGGGGGGCTCCCTTAGCTTATTCCCTTGTCACACTGACTGCATCAGGAAGGGCCGTCTTTCAGACCTAAGCCAATCAGCGTGCTGCATTCCTTTGGCCTTCCTGATTCGTTCAGGTTGGCCCAATCAGAGTGAAGTGAAGGGGTGTGGTTCAGAGTGGGTAGGAGAAGGGATCTCTTGTTCTGGAAGCTGAAAGCTAGAGGCTTGGGAACCGTGCAGTCATCTTGCTACCTTGAAGGCATTAATCATGTCTCCCTGAACTTGAGATGGGCAGAAATAAAGACATTTCCCAGCTTCCTTTGCAGCCTCCGTACATGGACAGCTAGCTCATTCAAAGGTGCCGTTAGAGCATGGTGTTGAACATCGCTGCTAACATTGGAACCCCAGGCAAGTTTACATACATTCCAGTGATCTCATTTTAACTTGATTTCCTCTATAAAGATGCTATTTCTAAGTAAGGTTATATTCTGATGTACTGAGGGTTCGGACTCAGTGTCTTTTTTTGAGGGGACAACATTCAACACACAACACCTCCAAAGCTCGGTTCCCTGCTATCCTGGAGAATCTCTGGGCTGTTCGGGATCCTTGAATCGATTTCTTTTCTGCTTAAATCAGCGAGAAGCAGTTTCTGTTGCTGTAGCAAGAACCCTGCCTGAATCACATGATTAAGTGTCCTCTTTTTAGAGCCTGTTATATTTTCTGCCTTTTATCATAGACAGTGAACTTGAAAAGAGGGAGCCTGTGAATCACTGTCTTTTCCAAAGTTGATTGCGACAGGATCTCTTCTGTGATATGATCTTGCCATTCTCCTATCCAGTAGAAGGATCTAACACCCCTCCCTTAAATCTGGCTAATCTTAGTGGCTTAGTTGTAATCAAAAGAATACAATGTAAGTGATGCTGTGTGACTTCCAAGGCTAGGTCAGAAGAAGCCACTTCTGGCTTCAAAGCAGAAGAGTTTCTGCCTTGGTCTTTTGGAACACTCGCTCTCCACTTGGCCCTCCCCAAGAACCCAGTCTCCATGTTGTGAGGAAGACTGAGCAGTCACATTGGAGAGACCACCTGAAAAAGATCTGGTGGATAGCCCCAGCTAAGTTTCCAGGTGACAGCCAGGGTGAGCCTCCACATATCTGAGTGAAGGCACCTCTGAATGATTCCAGCCTCCAGCATTTGAGCCAGTCTCAGCCTTTTGAGTCTTCTCATCTGAGGCCCCAGACATCATGAAGTAGACAAGCCATCTCTTTTGTGCCCTGTCTGAATTCCTGATCCCAGAAATCATGAACATTATAAAATGGTTGCTGTTCTATACCACTGAGTTTGCTCTGCACCAAGAAGTAACTAGAACAGAGCCCCGCATTCTGTTTCTTCTTTCAGGACTGAAGGTTTTCTTTTTGGCTTTTCACTTTACTGGGCACTGGGATCATCTATCAGTTCTACCAACAAAGAATCATCTGGGTCTTCTTCTGTGGGTCAGATTTATCCACGTGTATTTTTGAGTAGATACAAACACATCTGAAAAAGTGCTTTGAGAGACCATTATAAAAGTGGACAATGGTCAGACTGTATATAAAAATAGAATTCCAATCCACAACCTGCAGCGAAGACCAACGTGCCTAGAAGACCAGCCGTCTTACAAACAGCCCACGACACCAACCTGCTTTGAGTCAGACTTGCAGGAAGCCAGATTGCTATCTCCAGTGACAATCCAGGAAGACAAACAGTGACTTCTGTAAGGATTGACACTAAATGGCCAGGACTTGATTAATAACCAACAGCTTCCCTAATTCTTGTCCCTGCATCTAACTTAGGACCAGCTCCTAAGAAAGCCAAATATGCCCTGTAACCAGTTGCCTCCAGCTTCCCCGTGCCAACAACCTCCAATCAGGGCACAG